GAGAGGAAGAATGGCTTCAAAGTCCACTCAACTCTTCACCTCACCACCCTAATACTCTGGCTGACAACTGGCTGCCCTTAGACACTTCAAAATTGACTAGGGGTCAGAGTTGAGTTGCGTCAGATATGGAGGCATGGGGATATCCAAGACAACTGTCCTTGAGGGTCCCACCTGACTGGCACCTTTGGCCTGGCCTCTCTTAACTCAAAGACAGTGTGTGGACACCACTGAGATGAAAGCATGGTGGCTATTTCTGGGCTGCAGCCGCCTCCCTCCTCACCCTCACCCTGACATTGACCTCCACGTGCTCAGGGGCACTCTGAGTCCTCTAGGTGACACATATTCCTCCTAAAACGCAGGAGAGACTTCAAATTGCTGCCAGCAGACCTGTAGCCTTATCCTGGTCTCACCCCTTCTCAGCTATGCTATCAGACAGAAACAGCTGCCATAGGTCAAATGCCTATACAGGGTGTACTTAGGGTTCACACACAGCCATTCTCTCTTTTACCTTCATGACCACCTGGAGACTTTGCCTCAACCCCTGATCTCAGCTGAGGTCCAGGGAATATAAATGACAGCCTGAGCTCATGCAGCAGCTCAGGAGAAGTGAGGCCAGGACACGAGCCTGTGAGATTTCAAAGCTTCTGCAGCCGCTCAAAAGCTGTATGAGGATTGTGTTATAGTTACTGTTATGTTCTACTTAGCAACTTCATCCTTCCAGAATATTTTCACATTCATCTTCCATTTGGCTCTGACACTCACCCTGAGTTACTTGCCTCCCCTAGAGAGAGGTTCCCTGGAGTGTAAGACAATGAGATTCAACGTCAGCATCCCAGACCTGTCATTTCCTAATCATTTTATCAGCCAAGAGGAGACGAGCCAGCCTTTACCATCTTACAAATGAGGAAGTTAAAGTATGGGCAGCTCACGCAATCTGTCAACCAACATGTTGTAGTGACTTAGTCGGAACACACAACAGCAAAATAATAATGCCAGTGGTTTGAGTTATTGAACCACTGTCAACCGCATCCCAAGCACTGCGCCAAGTCATTACAGATATTGGCTCATTTAACCCTCACGGCAGCTATAAATGAACTGTTACTCAACATTATTACCCTCAATGTCAAGATCAGAAAGCTAAGACCAGGACTCAAACCAGACTCCTAGTCACTTATGGTGTCGGGTTCAGTTATTTTTGCTGCTCTTCGTATTCATTCACCTGTTCATTCATTCCACACCTCCCTGAATGCCTATTCCAGGCACAAGACTCAGTCCTGGGAATACAGCAACAAACAGGAGAGACTGGGTCCCTGCCCCAAAGCAGCTTGCAGACCAGGGTGTCATGCAGCCAGGTGGAGTCCCCTAAAAACCTGGCAATCCCTGGGTCATGAGGTGGGTCCGGAAAGAGGTAGAGATCTCAGCTCACCATAACCTGGCTTTCTCCAGATCTCCAGCAGGATGCATGGTTTAGCAAGGCTCACTGAAAGACGTGCTTGTCCTTGTAACATGAACTTCTTGTCCCCTTAACTGTCTCTCTCTTCTTTTCTCCACAACCAGTCTTATTTTAATCTGTATACTGAAAGACAGAGACAAAATGGCATACTCTTAATGAAGAAGAAGATGATAATGACAGCAGAGAAGGTGCAGAGTAGCTTCCTAAATTCCAGGTTGGCATTTAAACCCACTCATGTGATTCAAGTTCATTTACTTCTCTTGAAGCTGAACATATATTCTCCTAGAAATGTAGCACACTAAAGCCACTGTAAATAAGAGCCTGAAGATTCACACTTTTATTTATGCAACGATTTATGAGATTCCCCGTTTTCTCCAGCTGACTGAATCCCAGACTCTGGACAGGGTGGGCCATAATGACATTTCAAACCCTTTCTGGGTAATGTGAATTCCCAAATTCATGTCTCTGAAATCCAACCCTGTTAATCCATCTGATCTCAGTGTGGTTGGGCTCCAGTACCCATGGCAACATGTTAACAATGGGAACACCATTTTCTTAGCCCATCCCCACCCCTCACCAAAACTCTTACTCCTCCCGAATCCCCACTCTTGGAGAATGGTACCAACATCCATTAGGTCCTGCACAGAGCCTCTTGGGTCATCTAAGACATCTTGCTCTCATGCACCTTTGTCCTCATCTTGTTGTCAGCTGATCCTCAAATGATACTTGCTCAGATTTTTTCAAATGCATGCTTTCCCCTCTCTCCAACCCAGGACCACTCCCTACAACAGTCACCTGATTCCAGGTTGCTCCCCACCAATAAGTGACTTTTAAAAACACAATCTGCTTATAGATAAGTTTTCCAGGCACCCTTACAGTCTCAAATACTCCATTTTTTGCACTCATATGTGTGCATGGCTCCCAAAACTCCTTGCTTCCCTCACTTCTGTGCTATACTTGTACCGCACCCTCTTTTTAGAGCATACTTTTCCCATCTTCTTTCCTGGATAACCCCTATTCAAACTTTAAGGCCCAGTGCAGACATCACCTCTTCCTGGAAGTCTTCCAGGACCTCCAATCCAGGATTGGTTGGGCACTTCTGCAGCTACATCTCTACCATAGTATAGGATTCATCATACTCTATGAGAAATCTCTGTCTACCTGGATCTCTGACAACTGCACTGTGAGCTCCCTGGGAGAAAGAACCATTTCTTTCTTTTTTTGTATTATTAAAGACACACAATATGTTTAATCAGTGGGAAAACTCAGTAAATGCTTGACAGATGAATCAGCAAATAGATGAATGAAGAAACGCACAATGAATCACTCATGTCCACTCTTCTCCCCACATTCCTTCCATTTGTTCTGGAGATCACCTCTGGATTACAAAATACTTTAGTCCCCTATCATCTTGGTTTGTTCCTAATCATTCTATGAAATGGAAGACTCCATAGGTCTACAACATGGTATAATGTTTTTCAAACTTTCATGAATGCAACTTTAAAAATACATTTTTGATCATAATTCAAAACATACACATACAAAACCAAACAAAATATCAAAAAATTTTAACTGTCCAGGTAAGGTGGCTCATGCCTATAATCCCAGCACTTTGGGAGGCCAAGGCAGGCAGATCACCTGAGGTCAGGTGTTGGAGACCAGCCTGGCCAATATGGTGAAACCCTGTCTCTACTAAAAATACAAAAATTAGCCAGGCGTGGCGGCGAGCACCTGTAACCCCAGATACTTGGAAGGCTGAGGCAGAAGAGTCGCTTGAACCCAGGAGGCAGAGGTTGCAGTGAACTGAAATGGCGCCACTGCACTCCAGCCTGGACAGAACAAGACTTCATTTCAAAAAAAAAGTAGTGGTATAATAAGCAGTGCATCTACTATTTCCTGTTGTTTGCTATTATACACTATTTTAGTCTATTGTATTTTATATCACTTGTTAATATGCTGGTCATAGCTCACCAAATTGACTTTTTGGCCCACTACATAGGAACTAGACTTTAAAAATAATTGCTGAATAATACAGTCCTAAAGATTTTGACTCCAAACTTCTTCGAAGTATAAAGTTACAATCATTCATCCACGCTTTGGTAACTTTTCAAATGAACTTATAAAAATGTGGGTTTGAGCAGCACCACTTCTTAGTGAATTTCCAAGAACATGTTAGTTGCATAATTTACATTAAATAATTAAGCATATTTTTTCACTCTATACAGCAGTTAGATATAAACTAATTACATTTCAAAGGACAGCTGCCAAAAATGACAAACTCAGGGATCAATCTCTTACACTGTTCCTTCATGAAGATTTTATTTTCTACTCTTTGTGCTTTCATTCCTTCTCATCCGAAGGTTAAACATCAATTTACAAAAGCCTTGCCTAAGTGGTGTTGGTGGTATAGTGGTGAGCATAACCGTCTTCCTTAAAAGCCTAGCTTAGTCATATTATTCCTATTTTCTATTTCTATATTTCTTTGAAATGGTATCATAGACAATGATAGTCAAAATCATTGTACACTATTTGACCAATGAAGAAAACATAATTCAGGCATCTGTCCATGTGTCATCACAATGTCCAGTATATAATCAAAATTACTAAGCTGGGTGCAGTGAGTGGTGCATTCCCCCAGCTACTCAAGAAGCTGAGGATACAAGATCCCTCGAGTGATCCAGGAGTTTGAGGCCAGCCTGGGCAATATAGCACAACTCTGTCTCTAAAAATAATTTAAAAGAAAAAGTAGCCAGGCATGGTGGCTCGTAATCCCCGCTACTCTAGAGGCTGAGGCTGGAGGATCACTTGAGGCCAAGAATTTGGAACCAGCCTGAGCAACATAGTGAGACCTCATCTCTAAAAAATAAAACTAAACAAATAATTAGCTGGACAGGGTGGCATGTACCTGTGGACTCAGCTACTCAGGAGGGTGAGGCAGGGGTAATGCATTAACCCAAATTAGTAAGCATGAGAGGAAGCAGGAAAAAGTAAACCAGAATGAAAAATAAAAGTCAATAGAAACAGGTCCCAATGTGATCAATATGATGTTCCTAGAAGCCAAAGACTTTAAAACAATCAACAGACTGTAGTACACTTAAGAACACAAAGGAACCACATTAACATAATCAGTGAACTCTTGTAGGATGCAGCTAAAGTGGTGACTACAAGTAAATTTTGAGTTTTAAATGCATTAGAAAAGAAGAAAATATAATTTTAGTGATCTAACTTCCTAAGAAACTCAAAAAGTAAATTAGAACTAAGGTAAACAGAAAATTAGAAAGTATAAAGATAAAAACAGAAATTGATAAATTAGAAAAGAAAATAATAAAACCAAAATCTATTACCTTAAAGAATTAAAATTACAAAAAGTCTAGAAAAGACTGATCAAATAAAGAGAAAACACAAATCATGGATGTCAAAAACAAAAGGAGACAAATCAGTAAAGAGCCAATAGCTATTAAAAGGAAACTAGCAGAATAGTATAAATAATTTTGTGCCAATCAATTTGACAACTCTGGTGAGATAGATACATTTCTTGAAAAGTATACATTACCAAAACTGACACACACACAAATAGAAAATCTGAATAGCTCCGTGGTATGAGTTATCTATTTCCAGGTATTAAATATTATTCCAAAAAAGAGGAGCTTAAAATAAGAAACATTTATTGTTTCACAAGTTTCTGAGGTTAAGGAACCCAGGAGCAGCCTCACTGGGCGGTTCTGTCTCAGCGTCTTTCCCAAGGCTACAGTCAAGTTGCCAAGCAAGGCTGCAGTCATCTCAAGACTTGACTGGACTGGAGAATTCATTTCTAGTCTCACTCCCAGGGTTGTTGGCAGCTTCACCTCCTGGTTGGTCATCAGCCAAAAACTCTATTTCTTTCCACAAGGACCTCTCCACAAGCTTCCTGGGTGTTCACACAACATGGCTCCTGGCTTTCCTCAGAGTGAATGACCTAAGAGAGAAACATAGCTAGAATCTGCAGCCCTTTATAATATACTCATAAGTGGCATATCATCAAATCCGCTGCGTGCCATCGGTCACACAGGTAAACGCTAGTACAATGTTGAAGGAGACTACACAACTACACAAGGCTGTGAATATCAACAGGTAGGTATCACTGATGGCCCTCTTGGAGATTAGCTACCATATCTATACCTATAGTATTAAAGAAATTTAATTTGTTGTCCAAAAACTCCAAAAAAGAATTACAGACACAAACAATTTTACAGATAACTTTTTTCAAACATTAAGAAAAATATTTCAGAAAATGTAAGAGGGAAGAACATGTGTCTACTCATTTTATCAAGTCAAAATAACTCTGATGCCAAAGCCTAACGAAAAATCAGATGATAAAAAAATTAAAGACTCATCTCCCTCATAATCATATACACCAAATTCTTAACAAAATATTAGTCATGCATAACATTAAGTTCTTCAAGAACAGTTTATTCAAGGAATGCCAGGTCAATTCGACATTCAAAAATTAATTCAGTACATTCACTTAATAAATGAGAAGCCCTATCTGATCACCCCTATAGTTAGAGGAAATGCATTTGAATAAAAATTCAACACTTAGCAACAACAACAAGAAAACACTCTTGACAAACTAGAAATTAAGGAAAAGTTACCAATCTTGTAAGAAACATCTACCAAAATTCTACATCTAAAATCATACTTAAGGGTGAAATATTAAATGCTTTCTACATAAGCATGCCTGCTCTTATCATTTCTATTTGATATTGCTCTAGATGTCTTAACCAATGCAGTAAGACAAGAAGAAGAAATTAAAAAGCATAAAGATCACAAAAAATAGAAGTAAGAAGTTTCTATTTTCAGATGGCATGATTGTTAAAAGGAAATCCTGAAGAATCTAAAAATGTAATGAAATGAATAAGTTAATTTAGCAAAGTCATAGGGACAATGTCAATAATCAAAATTAATTGCATTTGTATATATTGATGGTAAACAATTTAAATTTGTTTTAAAACAATTAAATATGATTAGTTAAATTAAAATTAATTAATAAATTAAATTTATTATTAAATTTATTCAATATTTAATTAATGTTTGAAAAACATACCACTTGGAAGAAATTTTAAAAAATAAAGTACTTGAGAATAAATATAAAAAAGGACATCCAAGATCTCTATACTTAAAACGATAAGGCATTGCTAGGAGAAATTAAAGACCTAAATAAATGGCAAAATATGCTATGTTCATGATTTGGAAGTATCAATATTGTTATGATGTTAATTCCCCCAAATTAGTCAATAAACTAAAAATTATTTAAATCAAAATTTTAATAGGCTCTTTGACAGAAATCAACGTCTTTATTTTAAACTTTATTTTGAAATGCAAAGGACCGAGAGTAACCAAATCAGTCCTGAAACAAAAGAACAAACTTGGATGAACCACAACTCCTTATTTCAAGACTTACGATAAAGTTACAGTAATCAAGACAGTATGGTATTTACATAAACATATATTAATGGAACTGAATAAAAAGTCCAGGCATATAGACTCACACAGATAGAATCGATTTTTGACAAAGTTGTCAAAAAAATCTTATGGAAAAGTCTTTTTTAAAATTAGTGCTGCAACTGGATAAACACATTGAAAAATATTAATCCCAGACTCTACTTCATACCACACACACTCACACAAATTAGTTCTAGATGGATCACAGATCTAAAGAGATAGTTTAAACTGTAACACTTTAATAAAAAAATATGGGAAAATACCTTCCCAGCTTTGGGATAGGCAAAGATTTTTTTTGAAAAAAGGTGCAATTTCTAACCATAAAAGACAAAAAATGATAAATTAAAACTTCATCATAAATTTTAAATGTTTCAGCTACAAAAAATATATAAGATACCTAGAAATAACCAAGGAGGTGAAAGGTCTCTACACTGAAACTATAAAGTATTGATGACACAAATTGAAGAGGGCACAAATCAACGGAGAGATATCCTGTGCTCACGGGTTGGAAGAAATAATGTTAAAATGTCCATACTATCCAAAGCAATCTACAGATTCAGTGCAATCCCTATGAAAATACTAATGACCAAAATGGAATAAAATTCTAAATTTATATGATACCACAAAAGACTTTGAATAGCCAAAGCAATCTTGAGAAAGAGAAATCAAAGAAAGCTGGAGGCATCACTTGTAGCCTGACTTCAAAATATGCTATAGAGCAATTGTAACCAAAACAGCATGGTATTGGCATAAAAACAGACACACAGACCAATGGAACAGCATTAGAGCCCAGAAAGAAATCCATACATGTATACAAAAAACATATGTACATACATACAAATAACAGCCAACTGATTTTTGACAAAGGTGCCAAGAACATACACAGGGGAAAGGACAGTCTCTTCAATAAGTGATACTGGAAAAATTATATATCTGAGTACGGAAGAATGAAACTGGGGGCAGAGGTTGCAGTAGCAGTGAGCTGAGATCATGTCTTAAATGTAAGACTCAAAGCTATGAAAATACTAGAAGAACACTTAGGGGAAATGCTCCATGACATTGAACTGGCAAAGATTTTTTGAACAAGATCTCAAAAACACAAGGCAACAAAAGCAAAAATAGATAAATGAGATCACATAAAATGAAAAACCTTCTGCCCAGGAAAGGAAACAATCAACAAGGTGAAGAGATAGTTCTATAGAATGAGAGGAAATATTTGGAAAGTATACATCTGACAAGGGGTTAATATTCAGAATGTATTTTTTAAAATTAACTCAACGACTAAAAAACTCATCACCCTCTTTTAAAATGAGCAAAAGACCATAATAGATGTTTATCAAAAGAGGACACACAAATGGTCCACAGTTATACAAAAAAAATGCTCAACATTAGTAATCATCAGGAAAATGCAAATAAAAACCACAATGAGATGTCATCTTACTCCAAGTAGAATGGCTATTATCAAAAAGACAAAAGATGACAAATGTTGGTGAAAACGTGGAGAAAAGGGATCACTTATTACATACCATTAGTGGGAATGTAAACTAGTACAATCACTATGAAAACAGTATGGAGGTTCCTCAAAATTTTTAAATGGAATGACAATATAATCCAGCAATCTCATTACTGGATATATATCCAAAACAAGTGAAATAAAATCAGTTTGTTGAAGAAATATCGCACTCTCGTGTTTATTGTAGCATAATGCACAGTAGCCGAGATATGCAACCAATCTATTAATTAATGGATGAATGGACAAAGAAAATGTGGTATATACACACAATAGAATACTATTCAGTCTTAAAAAATAATTATGAAATCTTGTCGTTTGCAACAAAATGAATGATCCTGGAGGACATTATGCTAAGTGAAATAAGCCAGACACAGAAAGACAAATACTGCATAATCTCACTTACATATTGTATTAGTCCATTCTTACATTGCTATAAAGAACTACCTAAGACTGGGTAACTTTTAAAGAAAAGAGATTTAATTGGCTTACAGTTCCTCAGGCTGTACAGGAAGCATGCCTGGGGAGACCTCAGGAAACTTACAGTCATGGAGAAGGTGAAGGGGAAGCAGGCACATCTTACATAGCTGGAGCAGGAGGAAGAGAACAAAGGGGAGGTGCCTCACACTTTTTAAAAAACCGGATCTCGTGAGAACTCACTATCACAAGAACAGCAGAGGGGAAATCTGCCCTTGTGATCTAATCACCTCCCACAAGGCTCTTCCTCCAACACTGGGGATTATAATTCAACATGAGATTTGGGCAGGCACACAAATCCAAACCATATCACATGTAGAATCTTCAAAAGCTGGTCTCATTTATAGAAATAGAACATTTGGTTACCAGAGGACAGGAGAGGGAGGGGAGGATGGAGAAAGGATGGTCAATGGGTGCAAAGTTGCAGTTGGAAAGGAAGAGTATGTTCTGGTGTTCAACTGCACAGCACAGTGACTGCAGTCAATGATAAGGTGCTGTGTATCTCAAAACAGCTAGAAAAGAGGATTTTTCTATCTTCTCATCACAAAGAAATGATAAATGATTGAGGTGATAGATACACTAAATACTCTGATTTGATTATGACATAATATATGCACATATTGAAACATCCTATTGTACCCTATACATATGTACAATTATTAGGTGTGAATTAATTTTTTTATAGTTCTGAACCAAGTTTTTAAATTGCCTTAAAAAATCACTAGCTCCTCCGATTTATGATGTTCAAGTTTGGAATCACATGCTACTTAATGAAAAATATTTAATTTTCTTTATTTAAAGGCACTATTCAGAAAATGAAAAAGTAAGTGATAGGCTGGGGAAAATACTCATGAGATATATATTTGACACAGGGCTTGTATTTAGAAGAATATATTTTTAAAGCCCTACAGACCAATAGTAAAGAGATAAACAACTTATTTTTTTAAAAGGTCAAAAGACGTGAGCAGGCGACGATAAACAAATGGCCAGTAAACACATAAACATTTCTCAAGATCATTGTATTCAAGGAAACTGAAATTAAAACCACAATGAAATACCATTTCACATTCATTAAAACACTAAATTCAAAGAGACTGCCTTAATCAGTTTCAGGTACAAGGTACCATATACTGAACGTTTAAACACTAGACATTTATTTCTCACAGTTCTGGAAGCTGGAAGTCCAAAATCAAGGTGCTGACCAATTGGGTGTCTGGTGAGGGCCTTTTTCCTAACTTCTTGTATCTTCACATGGCAGAGAGATAATCTCTCACCTCTCTTTCTCTCTCTCTCTCTCTCTCTCTCTCTCTCTCTCTCTCTCTCTCTCTCTCTCGATGGAGTCTTGCTCTGTTGCCCAGGCTGGAATTCAGTGACACAATCTCAGCTCACTGACACTGCAACCTCTGCCTCCCTGGTTCAAGTGATTCTCCTGTCTCAGCCTCCAGAGTAGCTGGAATTACAGGTGCGTGCACCACCGCATCTGGCTA